TACTACTACAAGCTTCTAATGTTGTGTCATTAAACCCCCTCGTCGCCCTAGCAATCTATGAAAATCTCAATGACTCGATCACGCCCGATAAAAGCTGAAAAAGCTCACTGAGTCCCCCATCCAATACAGCGCCGCTATGCAAGGAAGAATGGCCAAGAGGAAGCAGACCGAAGCAAACGCCGGAACCAGCAGTCGATAGGGTGCCACCCCAAGCTTTCCGCATCGATGGGCGATCATCGATGCTTCATTGGCATAGAGAGCAAAGAGCGATGTCGATGATTCCAGTACTCGTTGCGATGGATGGAGAGAAGACACGCGATCCCACCATTCGCTTCCACCGAGACCAAACGCGAGGCAATCCGGAGCAAAGACAGATGCCAATATCCCGATTGCCAAAAGCCCCCGTGCTCGTAGCAATTCCGTATCYGAGAGAGGCGGAGTACCGTCGAGGCACTTTCCCGGATTGAACAGCGTAATGGCGGGGACAACCGCCGACATCACGAAGACAAAAAAGYACATCCATGGGAAAACGGTATCCATAGATGCAAGCCATTCCGGGCAAGCGTTACTAGCCCGGAGTGCCAACCATGACGTAGCCAATGCATATACGCCAGCGTATATATTGACATTGGAATCGTTTACTAGCAAACGCCTCGAGTGGTTTTTGATGTTGTAACCAGTCGCGATTTGCAGAAAGGCAGCCAAACCAGAAACCACCCCGAGCCCAATTGATAAAACTTCCAAATCGGTGTAAACATCGGTATAAAGTCCGAAAAGGTTGCAAATCGACACGGATCCTGCMACTGGTAYAACCAACAAAAGAGCAAGAATATCTCTAGGGTTGTTCAAAGCTTCCACCAAGGATGGGCGGTCTTCGTCCCGAACCTGAAGTGAGTCGGTTACGAGATAATCCGTGTCGTCGTCGTCGATGGTAAGGAGAACGTCATTATTCCGCGATCCAAGTGTCGTTGGTCGATTGGKGGGGTATAATCGAAATACAACGTCGGTTGACTTGGGTGATGGTTTGAACAAAGCGGGCGTTGTCGAGGTCAACCATTCGCTGTTGATTTTCGGGTTGCAATTTCGACGACTATTTTGTACATGCCGATCGCATGAACGAAACGAAGAAGCGGTAGACGCGAGTAAGGATACGAGCACAATTCCACACCGTGCAGTTGATCGAGGACTGTGCACTCTCATGACAAACTTTTCGCCGTTGTCTTGCCACTTTGGGTGAATTCAACTGGCAATATGTCGCAMACAGACAACAWTGAATGATTTGTTGTTTTCCCMATTGAATTTGGAAGGATACTCGTACGTTCTCGTAGCGGAATTACATACGCACGAGTACGTAATCATCTTACGGGTAACCATTACCGGAGTTGCGTTTTTCAATCCAGTCACGAATCATCTCACTGAGCTCCATCCCTAATCATCCTAGATTTTATGATGTTCTCCATGTATTTAACGMGCGAAGTAAAAATTTAATGTACCGCCAAGTACCAGTACTCCGGGCATTGTACTGAAGTGCACTTTCGTCAAAGCGCGGAAACTTCGTGCCACGGTATTTTTTATTTTTTGTTTGTGAATAGGAAAGTAGCGAACATTCTCAGATTCATCATTTTYAATAAGAGCTCTTAAGAAAAGTATCAGTCATGACATCCTGGACTGGTCGATCCCAGATGCGACACGAGGTGCACCAAGCCTGTCCCTGMCGGTAATTTGAGAGTCAATTCCACTTTTCCATTCGTCGAATGACGACGTAGCAAATTTATGATCCTTTTACTCTTGGCCGCCCATTTCTCTTGTTCTTCAGTGGTAACGAAGATATCATTCGAAGCGACACCCGAGATTCATATAAAAAAGCCAAGGGAGATTCATCATTTGCAYGCTATAAATCCCTTCTTCAGTAGCTTGGATAACTCAGAATAATCAAGTCACGTATTTTTGTCTGCAAACTTCAYCAGGATGAGTGAGCGTGCTGGAGGCGATAGAGTCGATCGGCAGAAGAAGTCGGCAATCGCCGATGAGTCGAATAGTGTGCTGGCAGGATTGTTTGTTCCTCCGCTGTATCCTTCTACACCCCAAAGGAACACAGGATCTGATGATACCGGCGGTGACGGTGCGGGTTCGGTGTCACACATGATGAAATTGTTTGCTCCTTCCATTGCTAACGCTSCTTCCATTGCACCCCCTACTGCGACAACAAGCACATCCGAACCATCATTTTGGCTTTCTCCGAACACAAACAACCGAATGAACTCTCTGCTTGCGGCACAGAATTCACCTGACAACAGGCAAGGGGAAGAGGCGCCTCTTTTGGGAGGATACGGTCTGCACACACCACAACCCAGTGTGGACAACACAAATTATTCCCAAATATCGTCGTCATCCTCCGCCGGCGACCTTGAGAAAACGCCAAAGACCAGCTTGTGTTCGTATGGCGGTGTTGGCAACAATGGTGATCGAAACGGCAATGGGATTGCTGGCCATGCTCGGCATATGTCGGGGGCGGGTCACGCSCGTGTAYCGTCGGTCGCGATGCCTTCTATTTCTGAAAATCGCGCTCAAACAATCCTAGCGCAACCCGATTTGAATCAAAATATGAACGCCAACGACAAGGATTGTAATTGTGACAAAAACACAACGGATCGCGTCTCCAATACTTGTACCCATACAGGCATCTTTCTACGAACCACGRAAGAGGCTATCTATTCGTTATTTGAATCCACGACATATATTGGCTCGTTCGTGTACTTGCTATACCACGTCGTGTTTTGCCTAGCCTTGGGATCAGCCATTATGCGACCCAAWAATCCCATCTCTATCTTGGGACTAATGACGAAAACTGCCGCTTTGGGAACGCTAGTAGCCTCTCCGATTTACTGGATCAAGCTTTCTAATGATATACCGGCACTTTATCCAACCGCAGACTTATTTTTGGCTCCATTTCTTGCCAGATTGGCGACACACGTGGATGATGTCCTAGCAAACGATTCAGCGGTTACGGAAGAAGAAAATGATGCCGTGTTTTTGGCTTCGTTTGGAGTTTTGACCGCCATCGGGATGGCCTTGAGTGCGTGCCTGATCATGGCGGCGAGCGTATTCAAACTAGCAAATTTGGGATCTTATTTGCCATTTCCAGTTATTTGTGGGTTCTTTTCAGCGGTCGGAATTCTCACCTGGACATTAGCCATCAACGTAGACACTGGAGGAAAGACTATTGGGGTGATTCTCACAAGTGGCGATTTCGATTTGATACGCTAYGCTTTGATTCATCACATTCCAACAATCATTGTGGCGGGATTCATGAAATACCTTGGACCGAAAAATCCTTTCTTTGTCTGTTTGGTTGTCGTTGTCACAATTGGACTCTTTTATGGTTACATGCTTGTCACGGGAACACCGCTCCAAGAAATGAAAGARGAGGGTTGGTTTTGGTCACACGAAGAACTTGTTTATGACAATGATTCATCAACGTTGGGCTTTGACGCGTGGGCCCCGCCGGCTCCATTCGCTGTTTTGGCGGTCATCTATCAGGTTCATTGGGGTGCTGTTCGGAATGGTATTTCTACTGCAATTGCCATGAGCTTCTTATATTTGATTCGCTGTTCTGTGTACGTATCAACAAYGCTGTTTTCCTGTCACGCCATCATTTTGCTGATTACATTTGTACGAAACGATGGCCCTAGCTACTCTGAAACTGACCTACTCAATTTCTTATATCCCTCATAGRCATGGGGCTGCCCTCAAAAAGAATATATCTAACTTGTCACGAAAGGTTTTATCGGCGGATTTAAATAAATCCGAAACTTTAAMAGCGTCAGCAGAGTTTAAGAATGAAAATGACATTCGTGGCACACCCGGAAGAATCTCTAAGCCTAAGTCGCGAAAATTCTCCGAAGCTGTCGACATTGAAGCAGTGATGTCCCAGCCCACACCCCAAGGCATGACACGCAGCAGCAGAAGCATTAACGATAGTGAAGAAAAATACCAGATTGTCCACGCAACTTCAACCAGCAAATCACTGAAAGAGATATCTTTGGCTTATGGATGTAGTCAGGTCTTCAATGTGGTTGCAGGAGGATTTGCGGTTACTCCTTCAGGTAAGCTCGATAATGTSTATTGCACGTTCCAATCGGTCAATTTTCGTCTCACTTAATGGCTTACTATACTTCAATCAGTGGCCTCCTCTAGTACAATGTTCATGTTGGGCGCTGATGGTCTTGCCCCACAAATAGGATCAGTTCTCCTKCTTTTGATATTCTACTTGACAGATTTTCAGATTGTTGGATACATTCCAAAACCTGCCTTTTCGTCGATGCTAGTACTGTCGTTTTTCGATATGATAAACACATGGTTCTTCAAGTCATTTCTGAAGACGAAAGACAAAATGGAGTGGGTGGTTGTTCCTGTAAGTCCTATAATGGTTGTGATCGCTGCTTGTTCCTTCTCCCAAAAGAGCCATCCCGTTTTTGAAACTTAGTACTAACACTGGGAACTTCTCTCCTTCAGGTTATTGTGATTTGTGCTTTTGTTCTGGATTTGCTATCGGCTGTGTTCCTAGGTATTGCTCTCTCGACTTTCATTTTCGTGGGTGCCTTCTTCCGAAGTGGCGTTGTGAAATATGTCGCAAACGGTCAATCCATYAATTCAACAATAGAGCGACCGAGCTCTCGTATGTCTCAATGGTTGAACGAGAACGGCTGTCGAATTCAAGTGATTTGTCTCCAGAACTATCTCTTCTTTGGAAATGCGTCGTCTATCTATAACTACGTGTTCGAATTATTCGAGTCCAACAAAGAAGACGAATCGCCGYTGTTAGAAAGCAAATCGAAGTATTTGATACTGGATTTGACGCTGGTAACTGGGATGGACACAAGCACGGTTGATGTATTTTCTCAAATCAAAAACTTGTGCGAAGGGAATCATTGCAAACTATTCATGGCCGGCATGTCTAGCAACATTCGATCCATTTTAGCACTTGGTGGGTTTAAAGCAGACAAAGGTGTCCGGTCGAAACGGCAGCTCCGTTTTTTTGCGAGCTTGGATGCCGCTCTGGGAAAGGCGGAAGACATGCTTTTAGAGTCGGATTAYGATGATCGAATAGATCAAGTGCGAACGAGGCATCTGATTAGGAGAAGGGATTCTGGCTTTCAAGCAGCGTTGCGTTACATCGATAACGGCGTAAGTTGTTTTTGTTTTTGAAAGTGATKTTTTTGGAAATTGCCCCAACTCAGAAATCTAATTCCAACCAACTCTGTTTTCCTCTGCGACGCAGCACGGAGACAACATTTGTCGCGAGCTTGCGGGGCTCGAAAAGTATACAACGATGCTGGAACTACAGGTGAGCAGAGCAAAATATGTTTGGTTTTGAAAATGTCCCAACCTGCTGGTTGYAGTTCATTTTGACAGAAACTCAATGAATCTTTTTCTGTACCCCTTCCCGTTTCTGCTCGATCAATGTTTACGAATCGGTGCGTTTGATACCTTGGAATGCCGTGCACCGGCAGCCTGGCGAGATACTATACAGCGACGGAAAATCCAAGGGCATAGAGCGGGGATTGTTTTTCATTGAAGCCGGCATTCTCAAAGAAGAGCGCGACACGGGGAACACGGCAACGTGGGGACCGAAACCGGCGGCATCTTCCCCATCCGGCACGGGGGGATCCCAAGACACGCTGACGAGGATGCGGCGGCGCTCCCTGAAGGCGGATCTGGGYGCCGGCTCGGAAAGCCAAACCTTTCGCCTCGCGCGACTCGGCGTGGGTTGGGTGGTGGGCACGATGGAATTCTTCGAGACGAAACGCCTGGGGAACCAGGTCGCACTGGACCACTGCCGGCTCCACCACCTGCCCTTTTCGAAACTCGGGGAAGCGGAGCTCGAGGATCCGATCGTAGYATTGAAACTCTACAAGCTCTTGTCCCGTCTGATGGCGCGACAACAGGAAGCAACGATTGGTCAGCTGGCAACGCTYCATTCCATCATGTCTTCGCCTGCGCGCTGAGGTCATTGGGACACGAACTRCTACTCGTAGAAAACAAAAGTGTTTCCAAGAATGAGTTGCGAATGGCACCGATGTGATGAACATGATTCGCAATATTACTACTAGTAGGTAGTACTATTACTAGTATCATGTCGGGTAGGCGAACGAATGTACGATTCTTTCCACCGTGCCCTGGCCGCATTCACAAGAATAACAAGAAGCACTCCAAATCGCAACTATTAGTAGTACTACTACTAGTAGTTCTATTAGTAGTAGTAGTACTACTACTAGTACCACCACCACTACCGATAGAAAAAGAAGTACTACTAGTATTAGCAGAAAACTATTGCCTGGCAGAGCTTCGTCATCGTGATTGCGTTGTTCACTAAGAATTTGATGAGGAGTTGTTGTTGTTGTTGTTGTTGTTGTTGTTCAGACCCAGCAGAGGATGCTGCTACTACTGCTAGTAGTAGTAGTAGTAGTAGTAGTAGTAGTAGTAGTAGTAGTAGTAGTAGTAGTAGTAGTAGTAGTAACTCAAGTGTTAGTAGATACTACTAGTACTAGTAGTGTACTACTACTAGTAGTACGTTTCCGTACTCTACTACTACTAGTGTTAGTATCTAGCAAATTGCCCTTTCAATAACTTGAGGAAGAACCTTCAATTATGGCAACGTTGAGGACGCATTGGTACGGTAGGATTGTCTACTACTACTAGTGCAAATAGCAACAACATTTCCTAGTACCGGTACTACTAGTACGAGTAGCAATACTAGTACTAGCAGTATTAGGAAATAGTACCGCCGTACGGTACGTAAATATTCCTAATAGCATTGCTAGTAATAGAAGTACAGTAAGCACGTACCAAAGGAATCCATTTCCCCTGCCACTCCGTTCTGAATGGGAGGGGTACGAGTACGAGTACCGTACCGTACGTACCGGTACGATCGAAGCGAACGGAAAGGCAGCATCTCCGTCCGGAATGCGGAATGATTGATTCATTGATTCATTGATTCATTGATTCATTGATTCATTGATTCATTGATTCATTGATTGATTGATTGATTGATTCCTTGATTCATTCGTTTTGTAGGCTTCGTTGCTTGGTTTTGCGCGCGAAGTGTTCGTTCGCTAAAAGATTGATTTTTTGGTATGCCTAGGATTGATTCCTTCCGCACATACACCTATTGGAAGGAATATTAAATGATGGATCGAGAATGACCCAAAGGTGTTCGAACCGATAGTGCTTGTGAGAAAGCAAGCCGACCGCCCCGACGAGACTCCCCCCCCCCCAACGGAATGGACCGGTTTCGGTCGCGAACCCCGGGCCGGTCCATCGGTGTGTTTGGTGCACGACTCGGAGMRATTCCGACGGTGCGCAGGCAATTGTTGCGGTTGGTAMGAGCCTCGTACCGTACCTAGGTGCGCACGTTTGTATGTGTTCCCACAACGGAATTGATTTGAACGTTATCGCGAAATAGATAGGAATTGGCAAACCGGTCGGAACCCAATCAAAAGAGACAAAATGGAGTATCACCGCGATTGGTGCACGACTGAGACCCCCAACGARRGTTCTCTCGTGGTTCCCAGAGCATTCAGTCTTATGGCCGCGCGTTTTCGTKTCGTCATAGGAAGAAACCCTTSCCTAGGATGGTCACTAACGGTAAGAAACATTTCTTTTTAAACTGCCCAACGGAAAGCAACCCCGACTGGATCTTGTGAGACACCTATGGTGCGCGTTGTATTTGTCGGTTGAGTTTCAATCAGTCTGGTGATATTGCGAACGCACGAGCAACCACCAAACACCACCATACCCGTACCATCGACCGGAATCCCCACAACACGACACCACGGAAGACAAAGCTCGTATGGTACCGTGCCCGTAGCCGCATTCGCAGAAGCACAAGCAGCCGCACGAGCAGTAGTACRAACYACGAGAGAGCACAACTTTTGTCGCCTCCCACGAGATACGATACCTCCTCCGTTTTGCMTTGTGGTGCAGCGTTTTCCATTTCACATCCTCTGTTCCATTTCGACAAACCGGTGGTGCAGTAGCAGTAGAAGCAGTAGAAGCAGCAGCATTAGCAGCAACAAGCGCAAGCGCAGCAACAAGAATAGCAAGCGCAGCAACAACAACAGCAAGCCCAGTGGAAGAGACAGACTCGAGCAAACGACGAAACCATGCCGCACAGACCCGATTCCCAGGGAGCCTCGGCCTCTTTGTCGCCGGGGGTTGGYGCCACGAACCACTCCTCCGTGTACACCCCCCCTAGGGTGGCCGGGAGCACCGCCGCAGCCATCATGAGGCAGCAGAGCCGCGACGGGAGCCTCGGCCAGGTGCCCGGGAYCACCTCCGGCCTGGGCCTTTCGTACGGCGGACACCCCTCGGGGATCGTGACGCCCTTTGCGTCCTCCAAGGGGGGMGGGCCCACCTGGCTGGCCGCTGGATCGAGGAACAAGAGCTCGGACTCGACGGACCGTTCSACGGCGACGACGGCCACCACCATGGACGAGACCCGGAGCATTGCCACCCTCGCCACCGAGGACGAGCGGGAAGCCACGGCCTCGGCGCTCCTCATGGTGGCCAAGGCCGCCGAAAGGGAACACCAGCAGAGCTACCTGAAGGGGATGGTAGTGGAGAGCAGCAACAGCAACAACAGCAGCAGCAGCAGCAGCGGAAGGGCCCCCGGGACGACGACCCCGGGTCTCTCCTCGGTGCCCTCCTCCGTCTCGAGGGGGTCGCCCTCGACGGTTCCCCTCAAGAAGAGGAAGAAACAGCTCCGARACGATGCCTGCCACGTGAGCCCCATGTCCCACGCCTCCACGGACCGCGGAACGGCRACCGCCTCTGCCGCCACGAATTCCTACGATTCCAAGGACACGGCACCGCCCGTTCTCACGACGCCGAAGGGAGAGATGACCCAGGAACTCCTGGACTCGTCCAAGGTCCACAGCACGGCACAGATCGGAAACCCAAGGCTCCAACCAGCAAGGGTGCCCTTGTCCCACTTTCCCACCCTCCTGCACCGGATCCTGGCCGACTCGGACGAGGAGGGATCGGCCATGCGGTGGCTACCCGACGGAGAGGCCTGGAAGGTCAACAACTGGAACGCGATGCGCCGGGAGATCCTTCCCAGGTACTTTAGCGATCTACCGGACGAAGACGGCCGCTCCTGCGGGACGATCGACGCTTTTTTGCACCACGTGGACGCCTGGGGATTCGAGGAAACGASCGCCGGGGCCTACCGCCACAACGTAAGTCGGTCTCCAGAGAGTAGTGATTGCTTTGCTTTGCCTTGCCCAAGGGAATGTTGGAATGGAATCGAATCGAATCGATCGGTGCCTATTCTCACTCTCAAGTTTCGTTTTGTTTTCGCCTTTGACTTTCACAACCGCACCTTGTTGCACCGAACAGCTCTTTATCCGCGGTGCCCAAAAGCTCTGCGTCAAGATGCGGTTCACCGCCGATGCGAGGAGCGACGGTGCCACCAACGGACAGCGTCCGAACACGGTATCCCCGGGACGCCACGGTGCCGACGYAACAGAGCGGCGAATGCTACAGGTTCCGATGCTCGCGTCTGCCGGTACAACGGACCCCAAGAAGCAGCCGGTGCTGCATCCCGGAAAACGACCCCGATACGAGAGCGATGCGGCGGGGCAACCCGGGCACGCACCGCTCCACTGGCCCTTTTCGGGTGATGCCAAAACCGGTGCCATGTGGGGCGCGAACGGACAGTTCGGCGAAGGACCCCACGCACGTGCCTACGGAATGAGAGCCGCGGCCGCGCTCAGCGCCGGAACGACCTCCTTTGCCACGCTCAACGGAACCTACAACATCGACCCGAGAATGCAGCTCAGCCGGATTCCCACCTCCGATTCCGGAACGGTGTCCAGGCCGCAGCCCCATCYCASCTTTCAGTACATACCGCCGCAGGTCCGGTCCGGCAGGGGCGCCCTCAGAGGCATTGCCCCGTCGGCCCAACCGAACCAAGGATCTTCCCCGGCGGCGGCCGCGAGTCCCACCTTTCGCCACGGATTCCCCGTCTCGAACCGCGGAAAGGGCCGCCGCAAAACGGCCKTCTGCCGAACCCCGCTGGCCGGCCCCGCCACCGAGAACCCCACGGCGTCCACCAGCGAGGCCCCAAAGGCAACCACCGCATCAGCGGGAATGAACATTGTCGGCGAGGCCCAGCGGGTCGGAACCTCGGTCCAGGGCGTCGCGRTGGCGATCTCGCGCAAGGGAAAACGAAAGCTGCCGATGGCGGGGGCCCGAAAGGCGGAGACCGGCAGCAACAGCGCTTTGGCTTCTGCCGAACAAACCGGCACGGCCCAATAGATTGTTTCGATATACACACAGACACACAACACAACACACTCACAAACGCAGACACAGACACAGACACACACTATGCATTAATTTTAACAAGAGGGAAGTTAAAATAGGGAGAGAAYCATTGCACGCTGTAGCTCACCAAAAATTTAATTGTAGCACGTAGCACGAAACGAAACCGCACCGACGCGCTTTCGGTCGCACGCAATTTGCTTTGGAGTGGTCGTTGGAGCTCCGACGCCTTCAGCTCACCTCTACCCAAAGTTCCAAGGTGGATAATCATCTACTGGAGAACGCTCAGTGTGTTTCCTTCCTACCACTCGGCAACGGGTTCTACGGCAAAAGATCGGGAACCAATCGTAGTTTGGCACAGAACTCTGAATTATAGGTGTTGTATGTAGTCTGGCAAAGCGAAAACTAGTATTTATTGCAGCACAACAGCACTCGATTCATTTTCTTCAATTGCAAAGAATGAATGGAATACTTTACGTTACGGTACGGTACGTAGTTGACCATCTATCTAGYTGGCATCTCATTCCTACCACTGGGTGACGGATTCTACTGSGGACAAACCAAAACCAAAAGATCGGGAAGGAACCTGGAAAGTTGGAAGTGGCGGAGAATTTCCGATCCGCGATCTTTGGAGTGGTCTTCGATGCTTCGGCGCGTACGTRCTACACGGTAATAGTTCTTGTTTCTTAGCCTGGCGAAGCAGCGCGTATCATTATCATTCCTTGCAGCACTCAACGATTGGTTTCCTTCCTCACGTCAGGGAGTACTTCGATCCCCCCGCCGTCTTCACGACGGCACCGCTCTTGGCGCCCTTCGGGATCGGCGAGGTCGTGATCCGGGTCCCGTCGGGGAAGCTCTTCGAGTCGTAGATCAGCCCGGTGATGGTTCCGTCGCGGTTCTGTTTCCACCTCTTCAGGGTGGGCGGCGCCGCCTGCCGGCCGACGGCACCAAAGAACCGAAAGGGGGAGGAGGAGGACGACGACGACGTCGAGGACGAGGGGGTCTTCGATGCCGGCCCGGGGGCCACCGCCCGGGTGCCCGCGCCCTTTCCGGCGCGCTGCTTTGCCTTGGCCTCTCTCAGCCTTGTCGCCTCGAGTCGTTTCTGCTTGAGCTCCTCCTGCCTGGCAGCCTTTTCTCTCGCCACCTCTTCCCGCCTTCGTGCCGCCCTCTCGACGCCCTCTCTCTGTCTGGCGATCTGCTTGGCAATGACGTCGTTCTGTAGCGAACCCCAAGAAATCCAGAGAGACAAAGAAAAGGGTTAGTCTCGTTCGATCCTTCGAATACACAACGGCACGATGTTTCTGGTGTTTGGCTTTCGTCGGCCTACGGTACATACCTTGTTTGTGGTAGAAGCAGCCGGTGCTTCTCCGCGATCTTTTTCGGTTTTCTTGTTGTTGTTGCCCAKTGAAAACGAAGACCAAGGTTGTTTTTTCTTGGGCTTCGTCACGATCAGSGTTGGGCGAGCATTTGGATCCCGGGCATTCTCKTCCTCGTCAACCTTTTTCGCACCACCGAAAAACGACAGGATTGACGGCATGCCGTCGGCACTCTCCTTTGCGGGTAYGAGCTCCGTTTTTCGCTGAGCCATACTGGCTGTTGMTGCCGTTTTCGCAGGGCTGGGGGGCTTTTGCATCGTGATCGTAGCTCGAACAGACCGCGAGTCGGCGCTCTTCACGCTCCCACCAAAGAAGGAGAAAATGCCACCACCACTCGGAGCACTCTCGCTACCGRCATCTTCCTGCTCTTCCGTTGCTTGCTCCGTCGTTTCTGCCGCRACCTTGTCGCTTTTGGGACTCATAAAGCTGAAAAAGGAGTTGCCGGCCGACGGCTCTTCCTTCGGCATGGGTTCCACATCGGCATCGACACTCTTTTCGTCCGCCGTGCTACTCGAGCCAAAGCCMAAAAACGAGCTCCCAGTAGACGATTTCTCTTTTTCWACAGGCTCCTCATCAGTTTCGGTCATCTCTTCTTTCTCCGCAACACTAGATCCAAAGTTGAAAAAAGGATTCCCGTCGGACGATTTCCCTTCCTGTACTGGCTCCTCATCGACGGTGCTCTCTTGCTCCTTTTTACTGGAACCGAAGAAACTAAAAGGATTTTTCATGGGTTCCTTTTCAGGCAGTGTTATCGACCTCTTGATGACCATTGTCCCCCTACTACCGATTTCGTCCTCGTCTTCATCGTCATTCTTTTTAGGATCGCTGAACAGTTTCCCTAAAATATCTGACCAAGACTCGGTGTCGTCCTTATCAACAACAATGGTGCCACCTAGGTCAACCGAATTTCTATCCTCACTGTCGCTRCTGGGAATGATTTGTGTGCCGGCATCGGTGGGGGATACAGGATCTTCGTCAGATGGAGTGACAGCACCAGAGGACGATGGGATTCTCTGCGTACCGCGGGAATCATTTCCTCCGATCGGTGCATCGCTGCCGCCATTGATMGGTTGGATCACCTGTGTCCCGCTGGTGGAAGAAGAAGRAGCAACTACCTGCGTTCCCCTGACAGGAGATGCGGGGTTGACCAACTGTGTCCCTCTGGGAGCAGAGGAGGGATTGATTACCTGTGTCCCTCTCGCTGACGTCGCCGTATTGATTACTTGCGTACCTCTAGCTTGGTTAATAACTTGTGTCCCTCGTTGACCAATTGCCGGTGATCCTTGTTGACCAATTACTTGTGTTCC